AGTTGATTTCAAATTTAGAAGGGGGAGGACAACATACTATTTATTGATAAGCCTCTCCTTAAATCCCAGTAATAACTGTCCTACTGAAGAAGTGATGAAGCCTTGCTTAATGATCTTTTACTGCTTAAATCTAGTCTTTTTTCCATCCTTGTCCCTTACATGTTGTTCCTATCTGAACAATCTTCTACTTCCCTTATCGGGTTTTGAGTAATCTTTGTATCTACCAACATATTCTGTACTTATAAAATTATGGAATTTGGGCCGAGCACAGCGGCTCATGCTATAATCCCAGCACTTTGGGAGGCCGAGGCGGGCAGATCATGAGGTCAGGAGTTTGAGACTAGCCAGGCCAATATGGTGAAACCTCATCCCTAATTTTAAAAAATACAAAAATTAGCCAAGGTGTCATGGCACACGCCTGGAGGCTGAGGCAGAAGAATCGCTTGAATCTGGGAGGCGGAGATTGCAGTGAACCGAGATCCCGCTACTGCACTCCAGCCTGAGCGACAGAGCAAGACTTTGTCTCAAAAAAAAAAAAGAAAAAGAAATACAGAATTCAGACCAGAAAGGAGCTTTTCTTTTCCTTTTAGGTTTCATCTGTCTTCTAGAGCCAACTAGCCATGTCTCTCCTGTCAGGTTTTAAGCCACCAGATGATTAAACATCAGCCAACAGATCCCAATAATACTGACTAAAGTCAACCCCTCTCTCAGTCAATTACAATAGCACCTCACCTAAATGGGATTTAAATATTTGACCACTCAGAATAGCAGTACTCACTTGGATTTCAAACACATCACAGCCCCTTAGCTCTCAACAAAGCCTTTTTACTTTTGTTTTACATATAATTCTAATAAGCTAATGTTATCAGGTTATCTTAACCCACAGTAAATTGGAAACCACAAGTCAGATCTGGAACTATACATAGCTCTTCCAGGAAAAGAGGAACTTGGCACACTGAGGAATCAAAAAATTCAAGAAGTACATCAGTTAGTCTTGAGCTATTTGATATGAGGCAAAGAGTCCTTCCTTATATGTCAATCAGTTCTGAGAATATTATTACAAGTAGAATAACTCAAGTTTCGGCCAGGCATGGTAGCTCATGCCTGTAATCCCAGCACTTTCGGAGGCCGAGGCAGGCAGATCACCTGAGGTCAGGAGTTCAAGATCAGCCTGACCAACATGGAGAAACCTTGTCTCTTCTAAAAATAAATACAAAATTAGCCAGGCATGATGGCACAAAAAAAAGAAAAGAAAAAAGAAAAATAACTCAAGTTTCCAATTGTGGCCCTGATCACAATGAGGCAAACAAATTAAATTTTTTTTTTTTTTTTTTTTTTTTTGAGACAGAGTTTCACTCTTGTCACCTAGGCTGGAGTACAAGGGTGCAATTTCGGCTCACCGCAAACTCCACTTCCTGGGTTCAAGTGATTCTCCTCCCTCAGCCTCCCAAGTAGCTGGGATTACAGGCACTTACCACCAACCCTAGCTAATTTTTGTATTTTTTTAAGTAGAGATAGGGTTTCACAATGTTGGCCAGGCTGTAAATCATTTTTGTAATGATGATTAATATCCTATTTAAGGTACTAGAAAATTAACTGGGTATGGTAGTGTATGTCTGTGATGCCAGCTACTTGGGAGACTGAACTAGGAGGACTGCTTGAGCCCAGGGGTCAAGGCTGCAGTGACCCGTGATTGTACCACTGCACTCCAGCCTAGGTGACACAGTGAGGCCTTGTCTAAAAAAAAAAAAAAAAAAAAAAAAAAAGAGAAGATGACACAGAAATGTCTAGTCTGCATCTGAGGAAGATTTTTTTTATCCAAAATAGGCAAAATAGGCCTTAAAAAAAAATTTTTTTTTTTTTTTTTTTTTTAGTGGAGTCTCACTCTGTCACCCAGGCTGGAGTGCAGTGGCAAGATCTCGGCTCTCCGAAACCTCCGGCTCCCAGGTTCAACCAATTCTCCTACCTCAGCCTCCTGAGTGGCTGGGATTACAGGCACAGGCAACCATACCCTGCTAATTTTTGTATTTTTAGTAGAGATGGGGTTTTGCCATGTTGTCTAGGCTGGTCTTGAACTCCTGACCTCAGGTGATCCATCCACCTTGGCCTCCCAAAGTGCTGGGATTACAGGCATGAGCCACGGCACAGGGCCAAACATTTTTTTTAAAGTACGGAACACTTCACAAATTTGTATGTCATCCTTGTGCAGACAGGCCATGCTAATCTTCTATTGTTCCAATTTAGCATATGTGCTGCCAAAACAAGCACCAAAATGGGCTTTTAAAAGTTATATATTAAAAGCATGTACAATTAAGGTAATAGCGTGTTCTTCACAAGACTATACTCTGCAAATACTTTTAGACAGAAATATTTCATGATAAAATTTTAAATAATTATTAGTGGTATTCTAAGTTCATTCCTATACCAACTACAGAGCTGATCAAATACAAAAAGTTTGTTCTTCTGTCTGAAATCTCAAGAATGAATTATTTCAAGAAATAAAACAAATTCTAAATTCTAACCTTCTCATCAAAGCTTTTAGTCAACAAACTTCATGTTCCACAACAGTGCCTACAGAATAAAACCTGGGGTCAGGCGCAGTGGCTCATGCCTATAATCCCACCATTTTGGGAGGCCGATGCAGGCCATCATCTGAGGTCAGGAGTTCAAGACCAGCCTGGCCAACATGGGTGAAACCCCGTCTCTACTAAAAATACAAACATTAGCGAGGCATGGTTGTGGGTACCTGTAATTCTAGCTACTTGGGAGGCTGAGACAGGACAATCACTTGAACCTGGGAGGTGAAGGTTTCAGTGAGCCAAGATCACATCACTGCACTTCAGCCTGGGCAACAGAGTAAGACTCCATCTCAAAAAAAAAAAAAAAAAAAAAAAAAGAAAAAAAAAAAAAAACCCAAAAAAAAAAAAAAAAAAAAACAAAAAAAAACAACCACTAGAGAGAGAATAGAAAAGGCCAGGCCAGTTATGCATAGCATTTAAGTCTCCATAAAAATTTACAACCCATGGCCTGGCACCGTGGCTCACGCCTGTAATCCCAGCACTTTGGGAGGGAGGTGAGCAGATCACGAGGTCAGGAGTTCGAAACCAGCCTGGCCAATATGGTGAAACCTCATCTCTACTAAAAGTAAAAATATTAGCTGGGCATGGTGGTGCGCACCTGTAGTCCCAGCTACTCGGGAGGCTGAGGCAGAAGAACTGCTTGAACCTGGGAGGCGGCAGTTGGAGCAAGCAGAAATGGCGCCACTGCACTCTAGTCTGGGTGACAGAGCGAGACTCCATCTCAAAAAAAAAGAAAGGGCTGGCCACAGTGGCTCACACCTGTAATCCCAGCACTTTGGGAGGCCGAGGCGGGTGGATCACAAGGTCAACAGATCGAGACCATCCTGGTCAACATGGTGAAACCCCGTCTCTACTGAAAATACAAAAAATTAGCTGGGCATGGTAGCGCGTGCCTGTAATCCCAGCTACTTAGGAGGCTGCGGCAGCAGAATTGCCTGAACCCAGGAGGCGGAGGTTGCAGTGAGCCGAGATCGCGCCATTGCATTCCAGCCTGGGTAACAAGAGCGAAACTCCGTCTAAAAAAAAAGAAAATTTAAGACCCATATGGAAGCAGTAAGTTAATGTTAAGACAGTTTTGCTCTCCAGGGCTGTAGCACCAGGTTGTTTCAGTTACTTCATCACATTAAGGAAACAATCCAGAGTTAGGACACAACCAACCAGAATCAACTCAGCAATACTTTGATAAGTAACCATCACAATTACGATTAAAACTGCTTTGATATTCTAGCTCACTCCCAACCATAAAGTGTCACCTTCTCTTAAACCCATTAAGTTTCTTCCTATCAAACAGCAATTGACAGGAAAAAGAATGGCACTCATGGTTAAATGTAATCTAACTATTTTATCCCATTCTCTAACAAAAGTTCTAAGACTGGCTGGGTGTGGTGGCACATGCCTTGTAATCCTAGCACTTTGGGAGACCATGGAGGGCAGATTGCTTGAGCCCAGGAGTTCGAGACCAGCCTGGGCAACATGGTGAAACCCAGTCTCTATAAAAAATACAAAATTTAGCTAGGTGTAGGCTGGACACAGTGGCTCACACCTGTAATCCCAGCACTTTGGGAGGCCGAGGCGGGTGGATTACCTCAGGTCAGGAGTTCAAGACCAGCCTGGTCAACATGGTGAAACCCTATCTATACTAATAATACAAAAATTAAGGCCAGGTGCGGTGGCTCACACCTGTAATCCCACCACTTTGGGAGGCCGAGGCAGGAGGATCACAAGGTCAGGAGTTGGAGACCAGCCTGGCCAACGTGGTAAAATAAAACCGCGTCTCTACTAAAGATACAAAAAATTAGCTGGGCATGGTGGCGAGCACCTGTAATCCCAGCTACTCGGGAGGCTGAGGAAGGAGAATTTCTTGAACCCAGGAAGCAAAGGTTGCAGTGAGCCCAGATCGTGCCACTATGCTCCAGCCTGGGTGACAACAGCAGAAAAAAAAATTAGCTGGGTGTGGTGGTGGGCATCTATAGTGCTGAGATGGGGAAGCCAAGGTGGATGGATCATCTGAACTGGGGAAGTGAAGCCTGCATTGAGTGGTGATTGGGCCACTGCATTCCAGCCTGGGTGACAAAGCAAGACCCTGTCTCAAAAAAAAAAAAAAAATGTTGTAAGACTGTCTTACAACATAAAAATGCTAACAAAATTTTATTTTCTGTCTAAAATTTCAAAAGTCTAACATGTTCTTTGATCCAGCAATTTTACTCCTAAAAATGTATTCTTTTTTTTTTAAAAAAAAAAGCAAAAAATACTCATACAAGGAAATATGTACAAGGATATTTCCCACAGCATTGTTTGTAGTATCAAAAGACTATAAACAACCTGGATATTAGAAGAGGACTGATTGAATAAACTGTGCACATTCATTGGACAGAATACGATGCAGCCACTATAAATAAGACGACCTATCATGTATTGATAGGAAACAATCTTGAAAATATATTTTGTCAAGTCAAAAAAAAAATTTGTTGAGCAGCATGCTATCATTGATGTAGCAAAAAGAAAAAAGAGAAAACACACACATACACATACAATCTCCAAAGGACACACAAAAAACTAGTAATAAAGGCCATCCCTGTGAGAAGGAAGGAGTAGGAGAGCCCAAATGAGGTCATGTGAAAGGAAAGCCGCTCTCTGAATATACATGGTATACCTTTTACACTTAAGTTTCACCAGGTACATGTATTATTTGCCTTTTAAAAAACGTCAAGGTCATATAGATTCATTCAGCTTCTCAACAAACACTTGAGGTATGTTCAGTTGAACTCTCTGATAAAGCTTCTGCAATAGATAATCAGAAGTCTACAGCTGTCTAGTTGGCAGATATTTATCGCCTTAAGCCTAACTTACTACTAGATTGTCTTAGTGCTACCTAAATACAAAATATTAGAAACCCTCTCTCAGGAAAGCACTCTTGACTCCCTAATTCGGCTTAGGTGGCTCCTCCATGTTCCCTCGAGTTTGAAATTATATAAAAATTAAGTGGCCGGGCGCGGTGGCTCAAGCCTGTAATCCCAGCACTTTGGGAGGCCGAGGCGGGTGGATCACGAGGTCAAGAGATCGAGACCATCCTGGTCAACATGGTGAAACCCCGTCTCTACTACAAATACAAAAATTCAGCTGGGCATGGTGGCGTGTGCCTGTAATCCCAGCTACTCAGGAGGCTGAGGCAGGAGAATTGCCTGAACCCAGGAGGCGGAGGTTGCGGTGAGCCGAGATCGCGCCATTGCGCTCCAGCCTGGGTAACAAGAGCGAAACTCCGTCTCAAAAAAAAAAAAAAAAAAAAAAAAAATTAAGTTACCCCCAAAAACACATACTAGGCTATAATAAATTCTAACATCTAATTAACAGTAATTCTGCATATTCTCTTAGCATTTACAAGAACTGTGAAAGAACAAGTTGATATAGACCAAATCTGTTATAAAAACTGCTCTTGGCCAGCCATGATGGTTTATGTCTGTAATCCCAGCACTTTGGGAGGCAAGGCGGGCGGATCACTTGAGGTCAGGAGTTTGAGACCAGCCTAGCCAACATGGCAAAAGCCTGTCTCTACTAAAAAAACTGCCCCTAAGAAAGTTTGAAATACTGATTAAAACATATACAACTTCAACACTTTTTTTCTCTATGGTTAAAACAAAAGTTTGAGTGCAGTGGCTCAAGCCTGTAATCCTAGCATTTTAGAAGGCCAGGGCAAGCAAAGGAGTTCAAGACCAGCCTGGGCAATGTGGCAAAACCTTGTCTCTACAAAAAAAATACAAAAAGTAGCAGGGCATCATGGTGTATGCCACTCGGGAGACTGAGGTGGGCAGACCACTTGGGCCTAGGAGGTTGTGGCTGCAGTAAGCTGTGATCGGGGCGCCCCAGCCTGGGCTACAGAGCAAGATCCTGTCCATCATAAATAAATGAATAGTTTGGTTTTGAAATCATTAGTTTTTGTATAAAATTCCCCTATAGCCAATAAAGGTACTCAAAAAAACATTTCACTAGTTTTATAGCTGAAAAAGTTGCCCTAAAATTAATTGTAAGGTTTAGAGAGGAGTGCTTTTCAACAGTCCCTGAATTCTTTCCCCCTTTTTTCCCTCACCTTCCTCATCTCAATAAAATCAAAGACAACATTAAATAAGAAAAGAACTTTCACAGAAGCGGCCAGAAAAGTGTCCGCATGGAAGTAACTGATGAAATAAATGCTAGCAAGAATGTGTTCAAGCTACATAGCAAAGCCACCTCTTCCTCTTGACCCTGTTCAGTTCATTCTTCCTCAGGCACTGTTCAGTGCCAGAGTCATGCTAGTGACAAAAGAGAAACGGTTAGGTGCACTGATCAAGGCTTAGTAACACCCAAAATGTTTATTAGAGAATAACAAGGAATTCTGATTTTTAAATATATATATTTGTCCTAAAGAAAATGAAGAGTTCTAGATTCTTCTAAAATTTTCTAGATTCTAGATTCTTCTAAAATTTTCTCTACTGGTCTACTTCAAGGCTATAAGTACTTGACACTCCTACAAAACCATTACTGTATTACTAATACGACACCTTGTTGTACCAGGTGCTCTTCATGAAGGTGGGCTCCAGCATTTGGATGACTGAGAGTCAACAAAACTTTTTGAAATATTCTAGCAATTCAAATAGTGCTAATTATTTTCTGAATCCTATGTATTTTGAGGAAAGTTATTAGTCATTTTTTAAA